ATTTATTGACCCACTGATTGCTCTAGGTAAGAAATTTCACGCAAAATACCTGATCTAATTTATAATTATAAATTCCATATTCCTTTACAACACCATGCTGACTCCCAGAAAAAAAAAAAGATTCATATTTACAAAGTTAATTTTGACGAACTTGTTCAGAACTACAATATAAAAAGCAGGCATTATGTACATATAATCATGATAAGTTCCAAGACTGTGTGGAGGAAGAGAAGCCACATACACCAGGGCCTCCAACAGGAAACCTCCAGAATGAGGAGGCAAAACATAATAGATAATTCAAATGTATATATAAAATGGCAGGTGATAACTTTGCACAGTTGGTTACTAGCTTAGTGTGGTGATTACATCGTAATGTATATAAATGTCAAATCACTATATAGTACACCTGAAACTAATATCATGTTGTATGCCAGCTATACTTAAATTAAAAATAAATCCCAAAATGCCAATCAATAGGGAAAAGAAAAAGTCTTCCACAAAAAGTATCATAAAGTTTAAGCAAAAAATGAGATGCAACTCAAAAGACATTAAATAAATAGGAAAACATTCTTTAGCTATACTAGAAGCCAGAAAAATATGATCTTTCCAATCTTTAATGTGAGGTTGGTAACTGATCACATGAAAAATATTTGTGCCTGGCCAGAGTGGCTCAGTGGCTGAGCACCAACCTATGAACAAGGATTACTGTTTGATTCCCAGTCAGGGCACATGTCCGGGTTGCGGGCTCAATTCCCAGAAGAGGGCATTCCAGGAGGCAGCCAATCAATTATTCTCTCTCAACATTGATGATATTCTCTCTCTCTCTCTCTCTCTCTCTCTCTCTCTCGCTCTCGCTCTCGCTCTCGCTCTCGCTCTCGCTCTCTCCCTCCCTCCCTACCTCCTCTCCCCCCCTTACTTCCTCTCTCCCTAAAAATTAAAAGCATATTTTAAAAAATACTTGTAATGCTTTTTCCTCCAAAGTCAGTCATATGGACTGAAAACTTTTGATCAGGCCACAGAGAGAAGGGGAGGGTAGGAAACCAAATCTGTATCTCCAAATTTGAATTGGAGAGTGGCCAAATACATCCCAGAAAATCTGGTATTTCTAAGACTTCATGGAGGACTGAGAATATGCCTGAACAATCTGGAAAAGAGCCATTATGATGTCTATATGTACAAAGAACTTCCAGGACACAAGACTGGAAAATGGCAGGTCCTTAAACTTCATTTGAGGGTTCCCATTTTTTCCTCCTAATACTAAAGCTATGTTTTTCTCAGACTCCCACCAGCAGCATGGAGGTAGAAATAAAAACAGAAATTCATTTGCAAATACTTGAAAGGAAGATGTGCTGTGCTCTGGCACGGCTATAAGAAGAACAAGTCCTGCCAGGTTAGATTAACCTTGTGGCCAAAATAATAGCTCCACAGGTCTTAGGGCCACACTGTCTCACTTTGGCATGAAATTAGGCCCTGTCCCCTATGACATGGTCATCAATGACAAGGGACAACCGTGAGATAAATAAAGTCCCTTTAAGCAAACTGCGTCCAGCTTACATCAGTAAGCCAGTGCGTCTGGGCCACCAGGCTATAAGACACAGGACCATGTAGGAATATCCTAAGTCCAAATTTGTCAACAGCCTCAGCAAACACTCTGTTGCCAATCTGCTGGGGTAAATCAGATTAAATGCACAGATAAAGATTTGGGGCAGGGGAAAAAACAGGAAAGTGGCCACACACACAGGAAAGAATTTAAATAGAGGTCACAAACAAGTGGCCTGTAAACCACTCTTTGTCAACAGATATGTTCTATTTGGTTAGCAAAAATTGAAAGTAATTCATTGCCAACACTAAAGTTGTCTAAAATTGGGAGGTTTCACCTAAAACTCAGTATTTCTGACTTAGAAAACAAAGTGTCCCTTTTAGACCACATTCCTATGAAGCAACAATCAGCTGGAGTCCCCACTCTGGGCAGAGTAGGCACAATTCAGTTTGCTCTACTTCATACCATTCTCCATTATCTACATACAATGTCAGTGTCCCCCAATTAATTCTGCCTTGCTTCACAGGCTTTGAAGTTTGTTAGCCCTTGATTAAAATTATAATATAATGTAGAAGTTCAGTAACTGGTCTCATAAAAATAACTGAATCAATACAAAGAACTACAAATGGAAAAAACCTCAAACTGCAAAAATAGCACTTTTTTTCCTAATGTTTTTGGTATTCATTAGAATTCTGTCCTAAGTCCTTTTCTCTTCCCCTCCCAGACATGTTCCATGGACACATTCCAACTGCTCCCAATCAATAACGCATGGACAGGTGGCTCACTCTCCTGGGTCTCTCATCTGAGGGTCCCGTCCACAGGATCACTGATGCACCTGGATACACAAACTTCTCTGAAATTTCTACAACTGAGCCTGTCCTCTTACCTCACCCTCCCACCCACAATCCACTCAGTAGCCTGAGAGTATCAACACTGAGCCTTCTTCATCTTGCCTTTCTCTCTTTTTTCTTAAGTAATCTAAACTGGAATAAGTTTAAATTGAAAAAAAAAAAAAAGTTGCAAAGAGAATACAGAGTCCCTACATTTTCCTCCCCCAGTTTGCCCTGATGGTAATATCTTACATTAATATGGTACTTTTGTCCAACGAAAAAGCTAACTTTGCTATAAATTAAACTCAAGACTATTCAAATTTTACATTTTCTCACTATTGTCCTTTTTCTGTTCTCCAGAATCGAATCCCAGATACCATGCTGCATTTAGATGTCCTCTTTTTAAAGTTCATTTCTATTAACATCAAATATATGTAAAGCCTATCTATGTTTGCCTCAACTCTCCCCATTTCCCCAGAGACAGCCAAGATTATTTTAGCTATTTCTTCAAGTATCTGTATCCATGACTCCAATTCTGCCATCTACTGATTTACTACTATGAAAGATTAGGATTTAGCTCCCATATACATACCTCCATGCATATTTCTCCTTGCCCCATCATCCCAGTGGGTTTGGTCATAACATTTATATAGTTCAAAATTTAGTGTTTACAGTGTTATTCACAGGTGAGCAATTATATTTCCTTTCTATTATAGTTTAGCTCTGTTTTTTCTAGAATTTAATGTTTATTCCTTTTAGGAATTGTGAAGACATTGTTCCATTGTAGCTTCCAATGCTGCTGTTGACTGGAGACAACTCTGATTCTTAACCCTTTGTACAAACCTCTTCTCTATTCCTCTTGAATTATGTAGTCTTCTAAGGTGGACCCAACGATTCCCCTCTGCAGGGTTTGCGCCCTTCTAACTCCTTCCCCTTGAACAGGAACTGGATTTAGTGACTTGCTACTAACAAAGAGAATATGGTAAAAGTGATGGGATGTTACTTCTTAGGTTACAAAAGATGGCGGCTTCTGTGTTGCTCATGCTCTCTAGAACCTGCTCACTCTGATGAAGCAAGCTGCCTCTGGAGAGAACCAAGTGGCGAGAACTCAGGCCCTTGATGCAATGCCCTTAGGAACTGAACCCTGTAAATAGCTACATGAATGTTCAAAGAAGCAGATCCACCCAGCTAAGCCGCAGAAACTGTGAAACATAATGCTGTTCTAGGCCAGGGTTGGCAAACTGTAGCCCTGAAGTGGCCGTGTGCTTTTGTATATAAAGTTTTATTAGAACACAGTGATAACCATTTATTTAGGTATAATCTATGCCTGCTTTTGTGCTGCAGCAGCAGAGGTGACTATATTGTGTGGCCCATAAGCCTAAAATACTTTAAGAAAAAGTTTGCCACTCCCTGTTCTAAGCCACTATGTTTGGGAATGATTTGTTATGCAGCAATAGATAATATGTCCTTCTCTCTGGAAACTCGTGGGATCAGTTTCAGTGCTTTATGTTCTAAAAGTTCATGAAGATGTAGCCAAGTATAAATCTATTCTGAAAAGCTGATGGACTTGGAACTAATGGGACCTCTAAATCTGGAAGCTCTTATTCCTCAGTTCTGGGAAACTTCCTAAAATCATGTCATTAATAATTTCTTCAGTTTTCTCTTTCTGGAACTGCTATTATTTAGATGTTTGACCTCCTAAACAAAGAATCTGATGATCCTAATGTTTCTCTCTTAGTTTCCATCTTTTTGTCTTTTTGTTCTAATTTCTGGGAGAATGCCTCAACTCTATTTTCTAGCCCTTCAATTGAATTTTTCATTTCTGTATCATGTGTTTAATTTCTAAGAGCTCTCTTTTTCTAAGTGTTATTTTTTAACAACTCCTCTTCTTATTTTATGAATACAATATTTCCTCTAATCTGAGGATTTTTTTTCTTAACTGTTCTATTCCCCTGCATTGTTTCCTGTGTTCCTTTTTTCTCTATTTGATTGTTTGGGACTATAGAAGCTGACTGTTTTTGTCTTATATTTATTTTGGTTTATATTTTGATAATGTCAGAGAAAGGTTATCCAATGTCTGATGTCTTGATGGGATCGTCCCCTCATATTTAAGAATAAAGCAGTAACAAATCTGTTTCTGTGGAGCAATTTGTCAATTGGAAGGGTGATCTGGTTTGGAACATTTTACTGAAGAACTTCCAACTTTCACTGTTTATGCAGCTTTTCACTTGAGCTCTTCAACTTTGCATAAAGAAATGGTTTAATTCTTGTCTGGAAGGGTTATGCCTATGCTGTTGAAGTCAAGCAGGTATAAAGGGTCTCACCTGGTCTAGAGCATGATGTACCATTCTCAGTGATGCCTGTTTTCCCCACATGAAGTACGAAGTCCTTCCACTTTAATCTCACCAGGTGATAACCTGGAGGATAAACCACTGGTCTTCTACCAGTGTGAGGAAGTGCAATTACCACACTATATAGGTGAGGAAGGAATCTAACTACTCACACAGACTTTCTCTACCCCACCCCCTGCACCCATCTGCACAGGTGCCTGGTTCCTCTGATTTTGGAATGCACTGGGGCTCCCTGATGTTGCCCTACTCTTTCTGTGCTTCCATGCTGTAGGCTTGAACTCCAGCTCTCTCTGATCAGCTTAGCCAACTGCCTTCAGATCACAGGCTTATTTTCCAGCTATCACAAATTTGCCACCATCCTCCTCCTCCCCTAGTGTTTTTATTCTCATTTTAATCTGATAATGTCAGAAAAAGTTATCAAATGTCTGCTGATTTCTTGATGGGATCGTCCCCCTCCTACTCCCATATTTAAGAATGAAGAAATAACAAACTATTGCTTTGGGCTTGGGTAAGGAGCCAAGGTAAATGGTTGTGCTTAATACAATAAGCCCTCGATTTTGCAGACTATGATTTAACAGACTTCAGATTTAATGGACAAAATTTCCGGTCCATATGTCATATGTGAAAATTAATACCCTGCTAATTTTAAAAGGCTTTTAACAAAATTTTGCTTATAATTAAATTAACAGATTTTTTTGTTATTAATTCAGTTATAATTTATATTTCAAAATTTCGAAAGTAGGTTTATTTAATTTCATATATATGTTAAACTTTATTGTTCAAAGTATTACGTATGTCCCCTTTTTTCCCCCTGTTGACCCCCTCTACCCCTCTTTAGACAGTCATTTCTCTTTTCCATTTTCTGAAGTATCACAGATCCACGTTTTGTCCCAGGAATACTATGACAATATATATGACCAGACCACAAGGAAATAAATATCTTTTAGAACAAAGCTTATGCAGTTTGTCCGGGCATCTCAAGACCCTATACCATCAGTTCTGTTACTGGTAACCTTTGTCTTTTGTAAACGTGTTTTACAGCTCACAGTACCCACTATCTGCTAAGCATAGCCAGAGAAAAGATTCCTTTAGTCATTCCATACCTTTTCTTCTTTTCTTCCTTTGTTTAGTCCCTGCCGAGTTCCTAGCTGAAAGCTTGATTCAGAGATTACTTAATCACAGATTCTACCTTCAAGAAATTTGTATTCTAGGTTAGCGGTCACCAACCGGTGGTCCGTAGGCCACTGGTGGTCCGTGAGAAACAAAAGGTTGGCGGCCGCTCTTCTAGGTCAGTGGTCGGCACACTCATTAGTCAACAGAGCCAAATATCAACAGTACAACGATTGACATTTCTTCTGAGAGCCAAATTTTTTAAACTTAAACTTCTTCTAACGCCACTTCTTCAAAATAGACTCACCTAGGCTGTGGTATTTTGTGGAAGAGCCACACTCAATGGGCCAAAGAGACGCATGTGGCTCGTGAGCCGCAGTTTGCCAACCACGATTCTAGGTAATGGAAGAGAAGCACGAAGGTAAACAAAACTCAGAGAATAGTGTGGCAGAAAGCGCCCTGGGAGGGCCAGCAATGCTTCCTAAAGGAGGATAAGCTAGGCTGACCCTGAAAGTTTTCCTGTTAAGTTGGGGGAAGCAGCAACTGGAACATTCCAGGACATGGGAACAACAGTCCAAGGCATAAAGTAACTTGGAATTCTCAGAAACAGCATGGCTTTTGCCTGAATCAAGCAGAGGCCCCTATTGAATGCAGAGCAGCATAAACCATAGCCCAGCCTAAATCCCTGCAAAAAACAAATGTCTGTTTGCAGTGACTAGGTAGCTGTTATCTGTGAATGTCAGAGGTCCTCCCTGACCACAGGGTCCAGGGGACCGTGTGCTGGACACCAGGAGGGCAAAGAAGTAACTCAGGCCCAGCCCCTGCCTTTGGGACACATAAGCTGGCATAAAGGGCCAGGAGCAGAGCTTAACACTTTTCAGGAAGCAAAGAGAGAGAACATTCATTCACACCCTGTGACTGCCGCCTGCTACAAAGGGAAAACCAGCTGGGGAAAAGGAACAGAAGGTATCCATTAAAAAGGACAAATTTGTTTTCCAGATCAACTTGTGGCTGATCCTGAAAGCAAGAGAAGCAGACTGACAACACAGAGCCCAAGCTCTTTACTAGAACTACTTTCTGTTGTTTTAAAAATGACAAGGTTTTAACAGGTTATGTCTTTCCCTCAAATATATAAATATATATATATATAATTGGTTTTTCTTACAGAGAGGAAGGGAGAGGGATAGAGAGCTAGAAACGTCAATGAGAGAGAAACATTGACCAGCTGCCTCTTGCACACCCCCTACCAGGGATGTGCCCGCAACCAATGTACATGCTCTTGACCAAAATCGAACCCGGGACCTTTCAGTCCACAGACTGAAGCTCTACCGCTGAGCCAAACCGTTTTCGGCTCTTTCCCTCTTTATAGCTACATAGAAAAGCCACTCAAGAACCAACACTGTGAGGTCATATCTGCCATGGAGTGCTGGGATCTCTATGGCTCGGAGACCTTAACTCTCATCTCTGGAGACACAGCTTGGGCTTCACTATGAGTGCCCTCTCACATGCATGGGAGACCAGGGGAAGCCCCGCTGTGGTGATCTCCTTACAGAACTCCCAGCATGCCATTTGGTTTTCCCTCCTCCTGCCTCTCCTTTATAATGCTGTGCTTCAAACTGTGAAGTAAAAAATACAGACAGTAGAAAAGGAGAGAAACTTTATCAAATACATTAGCAGCACACAGCACAAGGCTTGAGAAGGAAAAATGAACAGTTGGGGGAAGAATATTCATCTCTTCCCAACATTCTTGCTTGACAAAGATGACAAAGTTGCCCTGTCATTTTTCTCTCTCTTCTTTCCCAAGGAAAGAAGCCACACAGACTGGGCATGGTGAGACAAGAGCCCACAATGATCCCCATTGGTCCCCACTCCCTAGAGAGCCTGGAGTGGCGGGGAGGGTAAAAGGGCTTTAATTTTTAATCTTTAAAAAATTTTTAATGAACATGTATGACCTTTTCAAAGTATGTATCCCTCTTGTGTTTAAAATAATACAGTTATAAGCCCAGCTGGTATGGTTCAGTAGTTGAGTGTCGACCTATGAAACAGAAGATCACAGTTCAATTCCCAGTCAGGGCATATGGCTAGGTTGTGGGCTTGATCCCCAATGTGGGGTGTGCAAGAGGCAGCTGATCAATGATTCTCTCTCATCATTGGTGTTTCTATCTTTCTCCTTCTCCCTTCCTCTCTGAAATCAATAAAGATGTATTTAAAATAAAAAATAAAATAATACAGTTTAAAAAAAAAAGTCCTAAGGTGGGCAATCAAAAGTCCCTGAAGTCCCACGGTACACCACCTTTTCTAGCACAAATAAGTGGGAACAACAAACTGAAACAGAAAAATCTGGGAGATTCTCTAGCTCAAACCAGAAACTCAGTGTTTTCAGTATTTTAGGGAATCATCAACTTCCTGGGAAACTAAATGTCAAATGTGGGAGATTTTGCACAGGTCTATTTATTCCTACAACCCTTCCCTCCCTTACAGCCCCAACCCTCCTCGGTATCACCATTGCCGTCATCTCCATCTCCTCATGTCTTCATCATCTCCTTAGTATTCACAGCAGAAGAAACATGCTTTTCCCACTGAAACAACACAGAATTCTGCACATGTTCCTGTAGACAGCGCTCTCTCTGTCCATCAGCTCAAAGATCTGAGTCCTCCTCTCTTCTGCACCCCACAGAGCCATGGGAAAAGGAGCCCAACACTGGCACATCAGTCTGTCCTACTACCAGCTGACCAGATGCAGCTCAGACATCTGAGCCTCTGGAAAACACAGAGACTTGGGCAAAGAACAGAGAAAAGTCCTGGGGAGAAAAGTTCCTGGGAAGGCAGTTTTTGCACTTCCCTGGCAGCCACACCCTAGGGCTCCTGGCTTTACTTGCCTCCACCATCTCCAGATTCTCCTGACTGCTGACAGCCTAGGAGATGAGGAAAAGGCAGCACATTCTACCTCAGCAGGAATGGAAAGCTCAGAGGGAGCCCATGTCAAAGGCTCCCAACATGCACAGAAGGGTCACCTTGACACAGCAGCTCTCTGTCAGGGCAACTGAGGCAGCAAGAGTCTGCGGGACCATTACTCATATGAGGGCTGGGGCCTAACCCTTGGAGCACGATTCTGACCAAGGCCTCCCCTGGAGTATACCGATGCAGCCACATCACCTCACAAGCCCACTTTACTAGAGATGGTCCACAGTGTGTTAGAGTATGATTCTCATAAGAGTAAAACTTCTCTCTGAAAAATCACATGTGTTATCCCAAAACAGTTCCCCAAGAAGATGACAAGACATTCTGCTAGAAACGCACAGGCACCTGCTGCGAGAAGGTGAGAGGTAGAGAAGTGGTGAGCAGATCATCTGAGGGGGAAGAAAAGATTCACTTCACTGGCGAGAGAGGACTGCCACCTGCATTCAACAGCCAAGAAGGACACAAAGTAGTGATTTCTCCTGTCCCACACAAACCCCCAGCTACCACTCACATCTACTGTAAGGTATTACCTGGGCTCTCATCTCATCTCCACTTACAGTACTTCTCCTACACACACACACACACACACACACACACACACACACACACACACACGCACACATGTCCTCTTAGCAAAAAGGCCTCTCTTGACATGAAAAAGAATGTTAATTAAACCATCTTGACTCCCCTAAAGAATGTTTGTCTGGAAGAAAGAGAAAAGAGATCCACAGGTCAGGAGAGGAGCAGTAGGTCTGATGAAGACCTGGCTTAACTGTTGAAAATTTGAGAGCTCTTATACTGGTTTTAGTACTCACCATGTTAAACTGAGTACCATTATTTAACCCTCAGGGTACCCAAGTTACTTCACCTACATGATAAGATGACACCAAACAAAAAAACCTACAATCTCTGCTTGAAAAAATTCCTTTCCAAAAAGCCAACACCCCCCCCAAAAAAAAAAAAAAATCTTAAAATACTGAAATCCTGGAATTGAGTAGGATCTTCAAGGATTAACCATGATCTTCTGCCTCTGTGTTATGTCACTCCGGAAAACATTCTGAAGGGATGTGCAAATGTGCTATGTGCAATTCTTAAATCAGCCAAAAAGAAAATTCTCCAGCTTCCTAAAATATGTGTTGAAAAAGAATGAAGATTCACTGAATGTTGAGTACATGTCAAGAGCTTTATATATGCTTTCTTATTTAATACTTTCAATGCC